AGAAGATGGATTTCATTTCTTTCTTCAAGGAAACTAGAGACTAATTTCAGGAAAAATAATTTGCATGTGTTCTCAGATGGATCCTTTCTGTGTTGTTTCAGCTGAGGGAGCTGGGCAGCAAGTGCTTTGGGATGTGGGGCAGGAAGAACAGTGCTCAGAGAACTTTCAGGGAGGTATTTGAGTTTTTTTTTTTCCCTTCAGATAGGGAAGAAGATGCAGACTGGGGTGCAGAGGAGTGCTGGGATGACGAGTACGCCAGTCTGACTGGCTCTAGCAGGCATTCTTTAAGGCAGAATAGGTAGGTAGTGAATTTGAAAAAAGTAGGTTGGGGCCATTCATTAATTCAGCAAGTACAGAGCTTCCCCTGAGCTAGTCAATAAGGGGAATTATCATTAAAACCCCAAGTCACCAATCTTTTACTAGAACTTTTTTCTATTTTTTTCTTTTTTTTTTCCTTTTTGTCTTTTTTCATGACCGGTAACGGGATCGCGCCACCGCGCTCCCAAGCGCTGCACTCTACCGAGTGCGCCACCGGGCCGGCCCTAGATCTTTTTTCTTAATGAGCTCCTCTTCTGAAGAAAATGTATAGACTCATCTGAGACTTCAAGTAGACTTCCAGTGAAAATCAGTGTGTGATTTGATAATTAGGCTAAATTCTCAATATTAGAGAAAGTTACTTCCAGGAAAAGTGTTCTTAGTAAATAAGCTTAATGCTTTTTAGAAAGATTTTTATCAAGATACTTTTAAGCAAAATGTGATTTCAGAATAACCTTGAAATGACATGAACATTTTGCAGTACCTTCAATTTATGTAGAAAAAGAGTTTCTTCCCAGTGATCTTCAATCTTTCTTTTGTATTTTCTGCCATTACATTTTGACCTTGCTTTTGTAAAAATGAGTGCAGCTTTCCATCACTAGGGAGGGCTAGGTGGGAGAAGCAGAGGCAGGAGGAACTGTAACTGATAAATTAATGCCTCCAATCCTCCAGTCCAGTGGTCATCAGACTTTTTATTTGTGCACTTCCTAAAAGGACAAGAAGCATGGACTGCATCCCCTTGCTTATTGAAGTTGACATATGAATTATTCAGTTACAAGGGATTTCATTTCTCGCTTTTCATGCATGTATTTTCATACTGTGTATTTTTGTTAAAATAATATAATTTTCCCCCATACAATGCATAGAAAATGCTCATCACATAACCTAATTAGCAAAGCCAGTCCTCATTGTGAAATCAAATAAGCAAAATCAGCCTTAATTTCTACCAGAAAGAGCTCAGTGCAATTTTCCTGTTCAAATAATTGTGTTAATGTAAGCACCTTTACTCCTGTCTCACTTTTGAATTCAAATTATCATATGGATAGATAGATGAGACTTAGAGCTGTGCCAGAGGTTTGCAACTTGAATGAAATGAAGTACAACCTGAGGTAGTTACTATCTCTTTGTTTGATGTCCCAGAGGTTATTTTATGCCCTGGGGAAATGTACATTGTAAGATTCAGGAAGTAAAGAGAGAAGTGAAGTTGTAAGCAGAACTAGCAGATCTCAGCAGTTCTCGGGCAGTTCAGCTTTAGGAGAGTATAGTGGAAGCAGAAGATCTGTAAATGGATTCTCCTTAAACTATCCTAACCTCCTGGAAAGTTGTCTTGTTACCCCCAGGGCTTCTGCACTTTAGTTTGAAGAAAACTGTTTTAGCCTGTTTATGCTGCCTTTACATTTGGCTGGGTAAGTGAGAATGTTGGAATATCCCTTATCTGTACTTCTTAGGGTATTACAACTTTTTCTTTAGTAGCTTTCAGGAAAGGTGGACGATAATAAAAACCATGCTTAATAAGAACTAGGTGGTCTGTAGCAGACAGGCAGAAAAGGTCAATTATCTGTACTTCTTAGGGTATTACAACTTTTTCTTTAGTAGCTTTCAGGAAAGGTGGAAGATAATAAAAACCATGCTTAATAAGAACTAGGTGGTCTGTAGCAGACAGGCAGAAAAGGTCATGGGTGGTTAATGGCAGTGGGTATGGACCATGCACTGATATTCTGCAGCGTTTCAGCATGTGATATCAGTGGTTTGTCAGTGGTGATGACTGTAGGTCCTGTCTCTACTGCTTCCTTTTCTGTTTCTTTTTGGGGGTGGGGGGAGTGGCTGATGGGTGTGGGGATCTGAATCCTTGACCTTGGTGTTATGAGCACTGTGCTCTCCCAAGTGAGCTCACTGGCCCCTCTGCTTCATTTTCTTAAAGACTTTATGATCTCTCCAGGCTTTGAGTGTTGTAACATTTATGGCACTTAGAAGCTAAGCTAAGATAGATTCTTTTGATTTTTTTTTTTAGAGAACAACCCCCAAATGCTCATATTTAATTATTAAAACTAAGTGTTCCAAAAGATCTACTTGATAGAGTGTATACACTTTTCATAAATGGGAATGCTTAAAAAACAGTAGTTATGGAATGGTGGAAAGATACTATTTATGTTCAATATTTATGAGAAGTTTTATTAATATAAGAATTTTAGCAAGCATTTGTTATATACGTTTCTGAAAAATCCCCAAATAATAGGGCTTATGGGAAAATAGTATTGGGGAACACCACTCAAAATGTATGTGACTTAGTAAGCACTAACAAAAACAAAAATTGACACCTTGGGGGATAACTTGGATAGCCCAGGCAGACAGCTCAGTATCCTGGAAGCTGCCCCACAGGACATGCATGGACGAAGATGAATGGAAATGCTGGCAGTGGGTGCTGATGTAATGCAGATAGTGTGGGCTGCCATTGAGATGGCTCAGGAGGCAGTGCCACCTGCCACTGAGAGCAGTGCTATCCTGGAGGTGTGCCTCTCTGGAGAGGGAGACAGGGTGCAGATGCTAATTTCTGACTTTCTTAAAATAGAGTTAAAAAGACTTCTGCCTGTGCAGCAGCTCATATTAGAGATGTTCCCTGCTAAAGGTTCTAATTCTTTTCCTGCTTATCTGGTTCCCCTAATTGATGAAAATTTCCATAGGAAATAGTATAGCTCCTATACTGTACCACTCATATGTGAGCTATCTGATGTTCCAGAAGCATGTATTGTAGCAGAACATGTTATTTTTCAGGGCAGACTAGGAATTTTTACCCCCTTAACACTGGGACTTCAAATATTCATAATAGAAGCTCTAATTAATAATGGTGTACATCCATTCACAATCTTGGTGTCTCTGGGATTAGAGCTGCAAACCATTTCTAGGATTTCAGTTCAGAGTGAAAAATTTTCAGTTCGGGCCGGCCTGGTGGCGCACTGGAGAGTGCCCCGCTTGGGAGCACGGCGGCGCTCCTGCCGAGGGTTCGGATCCCATGTGGTGACCGGTTCCCGCTCACTGGCTGAGCGTGGCGCAGGCACAACACTGAGGGTTGCGATCCCGTTGCTGGTCCCCAGTACAGGTGCGACACCGAGGGTTGCGATCCTGTTACCGGCCAGTAAAAAAGACAAAAAGGAAAAAAAAAAAAAAA